CCACCACCACCACCATCACCACCACCCCCATCATTACTATCACCATCATCTCGACCACCACCAACAACCCACCACCACTACCACAACCACCACCATCGTCATCTTCACTACCACCACCACCATCGTCATCACCACCATCGTCATCACCACTACCACCACCACTTCCATCACCACTACCCCTACCACCACCACCACCACTTCCACCACCACCACCTCTACCATCACCATTATCACCACAACAACAACCACCACCATCATCTTCACTACCACCACTACTACCACCACCACCACCACCACCACCACCATCGTCATCATACCACCATTACCACCACTAAAATCACCCCTTCCATCATCATCACGCAATTATCATAATCATCGCCACCGACATCGTCACCACCAGCACCTTGTTCCTCTCGGACGTGCAACCGCCAGAATGGGACACCGAAGAGTGAGTACCTCAGCCGGACGTCACACATGTGACCCTGGGCCGCTCATGCATGCCTGATGATTATTACCTTTGGGTGTTGGATACTTTTTTCTTTCCCATTCATTTGATACCAAAGTCATTATGATTGTATAGCATAATTCCACTTCAATGTAACTGATACATAATATATAGCTCAACTAAGAAAAGTGAGGCTCAGCATGTCATGGTCTCTGATTGCCATAGATAATCACGAGGAAAGCCCCCAACTCATCACCATCATAAAGTTCCACACATAAAACAGTCATCGAGGACCATGGTTCTTCTTTCATTTCTCCGCTCGGATGCTCTCAAAATCTATAACAATACTTGTATTATTATCGTACTGTTTCCCCGTCACCCATCTGTTCAGGTTTTCCAGAAAAGGCAATCTTGGTCTACTCCTGCCTAGTTCGCCTTCTATTTTTCCGGTGAGAGCATAATGTTCAAAGCCTTTATTTCGATTCAAGTGTCCCACGAACTGCATTTGTCGCTTCCTGGTCCTTATTTGTGAGCAGCCCACCCAGGGTTCTTTCAGTACTCTCTTGTTTGAAAGATAACTGATTATATCGTATACTTTTTACAAGTAAAACAACGAGATATTCCATTCTGTTATTGTGGAGGTGTCATGATCAGTTCTTTGCGGTGTAGGCTTGTCACATTACTGCTTTGTTTTCATTGAAATGTTCCCTTGTCCCCTGTCCATAGGGCAGTACAGTCTCTATCTTAAAATCAAAACTAAAGCTTACACATTTGGGCAGCGCCGGGGAACTTATACAAAAGATCCTTTGTGAAGTATATGTGTGTGTTCAAAATTTCCTTTCAATGTCTTGCACATGTTTGTGAAAATTTATGTTGGCGCAAATCTGAACATTGTGCTTATCCACGTCTCTTTTGGGGTAAACTTTAATCTTAATTCAGATGCCAAGCCTCATTCATGCATGTTATCACGACTACCAAAATGGCCACATATAAAGTGGAGATCCTGGGAGTGATCCCAGATCAAGTTTAGATGGTTTATGTGTACCTGTTATATTGTACCTCGCTTATTCGTGATTATCTCAAAACAAACGTATGATAATACCGTTCATTACAACCATTATTGGCAGTTGGGTTTCATTTTGATTGTTTTATATTATTGCATATCGAGTTTCTTTTTTGCATGGTTGCTACCTTTTTAATGTCAGAATATTGATGATAGGCTCTGCCAATCTACTTGTTATCTTACACGTTGTGCGATGGTGTCCGACTCAACCAGAAACCTTTCAAACTTCTTCTCTTCATTCTTAGAATATCCCACAACAGCTAGATGTACTGTCGCTTGCGTCCGGCCTTAGAAGTGAATTATTATGTGTTTGGTAGTGCTGCAAGATATCATATCTTTCAATAAAAACTATACGCTACCTGTACTGTATAAAACAAATATTTCAGCAGACGATCGAAACACAAAGGTAACTGGATATGTGGTAATTTACTTTTCTTGTTTCT